AATCTGAGGATCACAGTTTAAAGCCAGTTTGGGCAGGAAAGACTATGAAACTCTTAACTCCAATTAACCCTCAGAAAACTGGAAGTGGTGCTGTGTGACACACCAGATTCCATCTCTAGCATTGCAAAAATAAAAATGAAAACAAAAGTCCAGAGTACTAAGAAGGCTCTGGACGGACGGGACCCCCCCTCCCTCGGCGCTCTGGCCCCGGACTCTCCCGGCCCCGTCCCCCGCACCTCCTCTTCCACGGAGACCCCGCCGCAGCCTGCGCCGGGGCGGCCCGGCCCAGGGTAGGTCCGGGGCCCCGGGTTTGTCCCTGCGCCCGCCTCCTTCCCCTCCTCCCTCCCGGGCCTAAGCTTTGCAACCTCTTCTCGCCGGGGTCCACTTGGACCAGGGGTCGGCGGGGGGCTCCCCGCGTCGCCCTGGGGCGCCAGCTGCGAGAAATGGTGCCTCTAAATCCCCGCTCCCTCCGGAGAGAGAATGACGCCCCTCCAAGATGGGGGATCGAGCTTCTGCTCCTCCTACCTGTTGGAGGAGCTGAGGCCCCCTCCCCCCAGCAGAGCGGGGTGCCTGCGGGTCTGCACCGGCGCCCTGCGGGGGTGACAAGTTCAGGGAGGTAGAACAGAGTGGGGAAAGGGGTGGTGGGCTTGCTCTCCGAGGACCCAGGAAACCGAGAGGCGGATTGAAAGCGAAACGGCCTGCCGGCCTCGCCACACAACCCTGGGGGAGGAACTTGATTTGGCGGATCCTTGGCGAGGGATCGCAAGCCTTCTGGTGTTTACCTGTGCTTGTAACAATTGGTTTGTCAGAGGGAGGGCATGTGGCACGGTGGGGGTGGGGGTGAGGAGACTTTCTATATGCTCTTTCTCGCAGAATGGTTCAGACTGGTTGGAATGATGGTGAGAGACAGCTTTGAAAAGGTGGCAGGAGGTTGTGCTTACAGCAGATGGTTGTCACCAAGGGAGGGGCCACTCTACGTTTGCTCATTCAGCAACTAGTAGACATACCGTATTTAAAGAGGTCATAAGTGTCAGGAGAAAAAGCAGAAAGGACCATGGAGAAGGCCAAAAAATGGACTCTCTGACTCTCTCTCTCCCTCTCTGCCTCTCTCTCTCCCTCCCTCTCTCTCTCCCTCTTCCTCCCCCTTCCTTCCTTTCTTTCTTTCTTCCTTTCCTTCTTTCTTTCTCTTTTTGTTTTTCTTTTCTTGTTTTAAATAGAAGGGGTGAGGGAAGGTCTCTAAGCAGAGATAAGGGAGCAAGCCATGCAGTTCTCTGGTGGCAGAACATTGAACAGCAGGTGCAAAGATTCTGAGGTGGTATACCTCATAATTCAAAACAACAACAAAAAACAATCATCAGTGGCCCACACTTGTTATCCTAGCTACCCAGGAGGTTGAGAGCTCAGAGGATCATGATTCAATGCCAGCCTAGGCTGGCTTCAAAATAATCTGCAGGGGCTGGGAAGGTGGCTTAAAGGAAGAGTGCTGGCCTTGCATGCATGAAGCCCTGGGTTCAATTCCTCAGAACCACATAAGCAGAAAAAGCTGGAAGTGGTGCTGTGGCTCAAGGAGTAGAGCACTAGCCTTGAGCTGAAGAGTTGAGGGACAGTACCCAGGTCCAGAGTTCAGGTCCTACAACCCACACACATACAAAAAATTTTTTTCAAAGATAACCACAAAAAGCTAAGCTGGAGGTATGGCTCAAGTGGTAGAGTGTGAAACAAGCAAGCAAAGCCAATTGAGGTAAGCCCCCAAGTTTCAGATATTGGCCAAAGGAAGAGAAAAAAAATCAACAAGAGAAGGTAGGGTAAAGGAACTGAAGAGTGGTTGTCAAGGAAGTTGGAAAACAGCTGGGACCAGATAATGGTGGGGAGCATGCAGGGAGCATGCAGGGCCATGGGTGCCTAATGAGCACTTTTGTTGGATTGTCTTGTCGTTGAAAAAAATGCAGATTTGTTTCAGATAACAAATGGCTATTGTGCTCTGACTTATGTTATAAGTGCCCTTTTCCTTTTTTTTTGGTTATGGGGCCTAAGTACTGTCCCTGAGTTTTTGCAATCAAGGCTAGCACTCTATCACTTTGAGCCATAGCTCCATTTAGTCCTATTTTTTTTTTTTTTGCCAGTCATGGGGCCTGAACTCTGGGTCTGGGCGCTGTCCCTCAGCTCTTCAGCTCAAGGCTAGTGCTCTACCACTGGAGCCACAGCGCCACTTCCGGCTTTTTCTGTTTATGTGGTGCTGAGGAATCGAACCCAGGGCCTCATGCTTGCAAGGCATGCACTGTACTGCTGAGCCACCTTCCCAGCCCATTAGTCCTATTTTTTTAATGACCGTTGATACAGTAAATACAAACAAGACAGCTAGAGGACATGGTAGTTAAATCATACCTCTTCCTACCTCAGTCTTCTCATCTGTTAACCAGCAGTGTGCAGTTCAGGGTAGAGCACAGCATGGGCTGAGTACATAGCCCTCATGGTGGTGGTGGTTACTGATGTCAAGGCACTGTCTGTCTGCATGTCTCCTGCAGAGTGCTTTCATCACCAGTTGGTGGTGGCACCAGCTCTGGCTGCCACCCTGGGCAAGTAGGATTTGGGGGATACTGATGAGGCCAGGTAGAGACTTCCTGCCACCTGCAATAACACTGATGTTAGTAGCAGTTCCTACAGGAAATTTGGTAGCTTGGTCCTGGCCTCTTTGCTAACAGGGGAAGGTGATAGGACTATTCAATAGGGAAATCCCCCTTTTTCTCCTGAGTAAAATGGTGGTGTTGGTTGAGTGTGATTGGGGACAGGTTGGGCCTCACTTGTGAGGTTGGATCCGTATGGCCAGGCAGTAGGTGGAAGCTGTTGATCCTGGCAGAGGCTGAGGTTTTGCAGCCTGTGTTATAAGACAATCACCTTGTATTTCCCTACTTATCCTTCATGCCTGGCTACATCATCACATCCCAATCATAGGCTGAACAGAGCCAGAGAATTTGAAAATGAAAGGGCAAAGGACTGAGAGGGTGTAGCTCAATGGTAGTATGCTTGGCTAGCATGGCTGACACACCAGATTCCATCTCTAGCATTGCAAAAATAAAAATGAAAACAAAAGTCCAGAGTACTAAGAAGCTGAGTGCCCCCCCACCCGCCCCACATGTTAGAGTAGCTGCAGCTGGAACCCCAGAATATTGACTTCGGAGCTCACATTCATGCCACAGCTGTACTGCTGGTTTGCACTGTATCTTGGATAATTCCCGTATATTTTGTGGGTCTCAGTCTCCCTCCATACCCAGTAAATGACATCATCTTCCCTTACCTGAAGGCCAATGGGAAGATGGGTTATGAAGGAGCTTGGTGCCCTTTGAAGCTCTCTACAGATGCCACGAGCTCTTAGCTCTCGCTTGGCTTCATTATGTCAGCTGCTCTTGGGTTCAGAGACCCTTGTGGGGCTACTTGAAGACCAATGGCGTATCTGCTTAGCTGTCACTGGAGCTGGTTTCCCAGCAATGAGAGCTGAGTAGGCAGAAGGGGCTCTAGGAGCCTGGCTGCCCTTGAGAATTATTGGTTACCTTCTGCCATTCTTTTTTTTTTTTTTGTCTGTCATGGGGCTTGAGCTGTGGGCCTGGGCGCTGTCCCTCAGCTCTTCAGCTCAAGTCTAGCGCTCTACCACTTGAACCACAGCACCGCTTCTGGTTTTCTTAGTGGTTTATTAGAGATAAGAGTCTCACGGCCTTTCCTGCCCGGGCTAGCTTTGAACCGTGATCCTCAGATCTCAGCCTCCTGAGTAGCTAGAATTACAGGCATGAGCCACCAGCGCCCGGCCTTCTGCCATTCTTTCTGCGCCTTCCTCAGCAGGTACCATCTATAGCACACATCTATGTGAAAGACTGACCAGACTGAAGGTGGGCAACCCAGCTGGCTCAAGCGTACCACAACCACCTTCTACACACTGTAATGGAGGCCCTGGGGTGTCAGAAAGGAAGCGTCTAGTCCTGTGGCAGTGCCAGTGGCATACTTCCCATAATGCCTCATCGTCTGTGTTTGCTATACAAGAAAGTTCCAGGTTGTAAGGACAGTAAAGACAGTGGCAGGTGATGTCCAAAAGAGAAGCCATCCTGGAGGAACCACCCCTGCCAGGTCTGTTTGTGGGACCAATGAGAACATGCCTGGGAAGCTCAAAGCCCTGGGTCTCAAGCTAGTAAATTGTATACGTGGATCATCTCTGGCTACTCCGGCACATCCTTGTTTGGGGTTGGGACATGAAGCCATCTAGTAGATACCAAGGACTGACGTACCAGTGGTGCTCTGCATGAGTGTGGTCATGAAGTTGGCACAAACAGAACACAGGCAGTTTGGTTCCTAGCCTGCCCTAGTGCACTCAGGCCTGTGCCCCGCCCCCTTTTATAGTATTTGGTAATTGTTTCTTTATCAAGAGAGGATGGAGATACCAGCAGCCATTCCTCCCTCATTCCATTCCATTCCCTCCCACCCTCCTTCTTTTTCTTCCTCCCTTCCTCCTTTACTTCCTTCCTGATCTCTCCCCCTCTCCCCCCCTTTTTTAATGCCAATACCAAGGCTTCAAGTCAGGGCCTCGAATTCTTATTTGACCTTTTCCCCACTCACAACTGGTGTTCTACCACTTGAGCCATTCCTCTAGTTCCAGAGTTTTGCAGGTTAAGATTAGAGTCTTGCCGGGCACTGATGGCTCACGCCTGTAATCCTAGCTACTCAGGAGGCTAAGATCTGAGAATCACAGTTCAAAGTCAGCCCAGGCAAGGAAAGTCCATGAGACTCTTATCTCCAATAAACCACTAGAAAACCGGAAGTGGCGCTGTGGCTTAGGTGGTAGAGCACTCGCCTTGAGCTGAAGAGCTGAGGGACAGTGCCCAGACCCAGAGTTCAAGCCCCATGACTGACCACCCCCCCAAAAAAAATAGAGTCTTACGGATTTGTCTGTCCAGGCTGGCTTTAAACCATGATTCTCAGATCTCAGCCTCTTGAGTAGCTATGATTATAGGTGTGAACCACTGGTACTGGTACCCTGCTTGCTTGCTTGCTTCCTTCCTTTTTTTTTTGCCAGTCATGGGGCCTGAACTCTGGGCCTGGGTGCTGTCCCTCAGCTCTTCAGCTCCAGGCAAGCACTCTACCACTTGAGCCACAGCGCCACTTCCGCTTTTTCTGCATATGTGGTGCTCAGGAATCGAACCCAGAGCCTCATGCATGCAAGGCAAGCACTCTACCACTCAGCCACCTTCCCAGCCCTGCTTTCCTTCTTTCTTTCTTTCCTTCCTTCCTTCCTTCCTTCCTTCCT